ATGACACTGCCGCCTAGTCCTCTTCATTTAGGGGAGGGGAGAAGAAGAGGAAAAACAATCCTGGCGATGAATAAAGTGGGAGATTTTTTAATCGATTAATTAATCACTTATATCAAAACCTATGCAGTTCCGCGATCAGTGTGCTGCATTTTTTGCAGTCCTTTCAAAGCTTTTCAGTCTCTGAGCATCTTGGTAAAGGGGAGAAGAGCGGCAGCAATGCCAGATGCGTTCCCCCTCTCTGATATACACCTTTCCTAGTGATACGGTGTATAGGTAAATATTGGGAAAGGGTAGCAAAATTTTATTTCAGGTTCTTTTAACAACCTGAAATAAATGAATGGCAAGTCCAGAAATGCAGGTGTTTCAATCTGCTTGGATGAGTCAGATCCAGCGGAACAAATCATATTCACTATCGCCTCATGTTCCTCCCTTCACAGACATTAGTTGCAGCTTCTTCCTAACGCTTCTCTGACTCACTCTATAGACAGGAAAAAAAAAATTAATCAGATTTATATTTTGAAGAGGGAGGAGGAAAGAGAGAAAAAAAAAAAAAAAAAAAAAAAAAAAAGGAGAAGGTGGGGGTGTCAGATCCAGCTACACTTTTACTATACCTCTTTCTCCGGGAGACTGAGGATCAGGAAAACAAGGCTGTTATCCACTCACTGGCACAGAGGCGCGTCTGTCTCCTGCTTTGCTGAGTGTTTTTAACCACCTTTCCTCAGTGTTATGTGTGAAATAAAGCAGAGATCTTTCACATTAAAAGAAAAAAAAAAAGCAATAAAAACATAGGTTTCCAACACATAGCTCACAGATCTAGTTCCGAGTCTCAGTTCTGCACTGTTTTTTTCTCCTTTATTTGAGTCCGTACCCAAAGTACACAGTTAATTCTGCAACGTGTGGCAGGGAGGCTTTCAAACGCAAAAGAAGAAAAAACAAATATTCTTCTCTGCCTCATTGATGGGTGGCCCCTTGCAAAGAGACGGTCGCCAGTCTTAGCCAGGCAGCACGCGGAGCGAACGCCGATCCCCGATAAACCAGATCCATTTCGCCAGCCCGCAGGTAAGTGGAGAATTCAGTGAAAATTCAACAGTTGGAGCCGCGCTCTGCCTCGCGCTCGCTCTCTCTCTCTCTCTCTCTCTCTCTCGCTCTCTCTCGCTCGCTCGCTCTCTCTCCCTCTCTCTCTCCCCCTCCCTCCTCGCCTCCCTCACTGCAGCACTCGCGGGGCCGCCGCGCCGCGCCGCGCTCGCCCAGCGCCGCTCGCCGACTGCCTCTATTCACATCACGCCGCGGCTTAAACATTGATACGGATTCCCCGCCAGCCAAT